GAACCGGGCTGGGCAGGAGCTGCTGGGGCCGGACCGCGTTGCGCCTCCCCGGAGCCCTCCTCCTCGCATCCCCCCGCCCCAGCTTACCTGCTGCTGCCCGCCTGCCCCTGCTTCTTTTCAGACTTCCCACGAAGATCTGATTCGCGGGAAGCAGGGGAGGGGGAGGAGCAGGGGGGCAGAGCGTTTAGGGAAGGGGAGGAGGGGGAAGACAGCTGCGGGGCCAGGGGCGTGCTAAGGCTGCAGGGGATGGGGGGAACTGAGAAGGGGCTTTGGCTGCCGAACAGCGCCGCTTTTCGATCTATAAATAGCCAACCGGGCGGAAATCCCGGACATCTTTAGAAATCCCCCCGGACGGCTATTTATAGATGGAAAAGCCGGACATGTCCGGGGAAATCCAGACATATGGTAGCCCTAATATAGGGGAGTAGTAGGACCAACTAGTTAGCAAAGTGAGTTCTCAATTGTGTTTGTGTTTTACTTACAGATCTGCAAGCTTTTCATGTGGATGACATTTATGCCATTGTGGCTGAGGAATAAATATGCTTACAAAATGAATCACATAGTATGTGTTATGTTTCATATCATAACTTCTTTGTTGTGTTTCCCTGGCTTCCATTTTTTACAGTTGTTTTCCCTTCCTCCCTCTCCCTAGAAAAAAAAAAGATTTATATTTTGGGAGGGGGAAAATATCACAATCCTGATTCCTGCTTTCCCAATACAGTCGAGAAAAAAAATATTGTATACTTTACACATCAAATACGTAATGACACTGTACTGTACTCCATTCACCCATTGGTCAGTGAACTCACCCTAGATATACAGGGCAAGTCAAATTTTGCTGCATTCACCATATATAATGGGCTGCAAAACCTCATTGACCATACATTTCCTCTCAATACTGGCCTGAACTCTCCCTCTACCAGGGGAAGGACAACTATAAGTTAAAGACCTTAAAGCTATAATTAGTATCCACAATATGAGAGGATTGGTGTGTCTAAAGGATAGTGTTCACATTGCATATGGAACATTAATTGTGAGTTTTCTCACTTTCAAAAGTGCTTTAGACAACTCTGATGTTCTAATAATGTTTTGCTAAATGAATGTTTAATTGATTTACAAATACATTTTATCTTATGAATTTTACTGCATTTGAGTTTTGTGCAGACTATTTCTTACAATATCTTTTTTCTGCAAGTCAATAAATGGGTAAAATCTTTATATTCTACACACAATTTATTGTAGAACAAAAAATATAATCCCCAATAGAAACGTAGATTCACTTGTGTTCTAGTCATAGGGAGGAAAAATGCATAAAATGAGTGTATTATAATATGCTTGTTCATTCTGTGGATGATGACATAATCTCAGTTACCTACTAAAATGTACTAGGTTGATTTTGGGTTTTTTTAAATTTTGCTAACAAAAACAGGAATTAATTGAATTTTAAATTGTTAATTTCTTTTGACCCAAAAATAAATTTGACCCAATTTATAAATTAAATATAAAATTTACTTATTTATTATGAAGAAATCTGGTTAATTCAATTCAGATTACTCTTAATTTATATTTCTCTTATATCTTAGTGATACCAGTGCAACCCAACTGCCTTCAGATTATGTGCTTGTGACATCGTCAATAAATTTATACAGGTGCAATTGATTTGAATATAACAGTTCTGTTGATGTAGCTGAAGAAGGGACAGAATCTAGCACTTCTGTAAATTTTGTTGGTTCTGTAGTACTAATAAGAATAAAACAATAATTTTTTTTCTATAAAGTCAACAGGTATCACTCAGAGCAGATCTTTTGAATAAGGTGTTGTCATTTCTCAGTCACTTCTCAAAAGTACACCCACACTTTAACAATGAAATTACTGATATGTACTTTCAACATTAACTCCAGGTTATAGAGTTGGGCTGAGAATTTCCATCTGTCATGCTCTTCTGCCTACAGGTCACCACTTGTCAGTATCCTAAGAAAGTAAAGTCAAAAAGAGATTAAACATTGTGCTTTCTCTTTAATCCTTAGTTATCCTTTTCCCTTTCAGCACCCTCCTTGATAGGTATGGTAAGGAAGGACTGGGCTTCCCAAAACAGCATTGCCCTCTCATGGCAAGAGCCTGACTTTCCCAATGGAGCCATTCTGGACTACGAGATCAAGTACTATGAGAAAGTAGGTCTTGCTTAGAACATCAACCAAATAAAACTCTACAGAGCAGCATGTTATATATTGAAATATCTTTATATTTTTTAAACTTGGAAACTTGTTCTCACTTTATTTATCCCATATACAATCATTAGGTTGAAGTGTTAGTTTTGTTTTGTACTGATCTGTTTATGTTTTGATTTGTCTTGTTTTATGTCAGATTTGAGAACAGTAGAAAAAAACAGATATGCATATCTCATGATGCCACATTAGTGAGGTTTATAAACACTGTTAAATGAATGGCCTCTTTGATGTGTTTTGATGTATAGACTGCCATGATATTGTTGATATAATACAATTATAACAAATGTCATTGTGATTACATTTTTTGTGGTCTGATTTAGCAACAACCTGAGGCCAAATTACACAGTATACATTTCTAGCTACAGGATTAGCAAAGAACAGAGAATATTAGACTAAATAAAATTGCATTGTTTTTAAGATTAGAAAGAGAAATGAGAACCACATAAGTGGTATTCTTGTCAGAAGTCTGAACCCAAAATCTTCAAGCCTATTTGGGCAAAGGTGCACACACACTTCCCTCACTCCAGATGTAGATGTGCACATATGTAAGTACAAACTGGGATCTGCTTTTCCTCACATCCATTCTGTGCACATTTGCACACCCCAGTTTGAAGAGTAGGCCTCACTACAGAATAAAAGTTTGTGGTAATTGGTACCTTCATGCTTTGAGAAACATCTAGGAGTTTTCAGGTATCTGCATCTCAACCTGCCAAACTCAGGAGATAATAGTATTTCCTTTTCCCTTTCTAAGAAGCACAAACCAATGAATGGAAAGGAGAAAAGAGCCCTGAGGAGAAAGTCATAAAGCATAGGACAGGAAAAGGGAGTTATATTTTTACTTTGTAAATATCTGGGCTTCTTGTTTTTCAGTCTGAGAAGTTCTGAGCCTGCAGTTCTGTGCACAGTTATGCTGTTTTATTAAAGCTAGAATTGAGAAAAGCCCAACAATTGAAACTACTCGGTTTGAAAAACAAGTTACACTGTTTATCTTATTTGGTAAACAAACCAATGAGGCCTGGAAAATCCACAGATTCCAGGGATTCTCAAGGACCTATTACATAACTTTTCCCATGTTGCTTCCCTATTATGACTTGAGCTGGCACTTGTTTTATTTATCAACAATAAAAAAATCTGACTCTGAATTAGAAAGATAAATACTATAATCTATTAAGAGATTAATTCAACTGCAGGAAACATATTGGCTCATTCCACAGATTGGCCATCAAAATTTTAGCAAGGATATTAAGTTGTAAGCATTATATTTACACAAACTCATTGGTAGATTATACTCTGAAGACAATACAGTGTTACTGAGCAACTTGGCACAGGAATCCTCTTTAAAAGGAATTTAAAAGGAAAAAAAGGCTAGAATATGCTCAGGGGATTTGGCAAAAAGAGCAGTGGTATTCACAAGTGTGAGTGGTGCAACTTTCAAGAAACATTGCAACTCAAAGACAAGGCCCAGTTCTGCTCTCACTTACACTAATATAAGTCAGGAATAGCTCTAATAAGTCAACAATATTACTCTGGTGTAAATGGCAGCAGATTTAGGTACAGACTTAAATCCTTGCTGTAGATTTTCATAAAAATAATTGCGAATTGTCCCAAGATTGACAGTTACCTAAATTAGGCTTCTGACAGTTTATTTTGTTGCCTGATTTTTAACTTATTTTATTAACATCTTTAGCTTACACTGCTCTACAGCCAAAATGCTTCTGAAATAAATGTAGTCAAATTTTACTAATTCTGGGTCACTGAGAACGAAAATGATGCTTAAAATTGTTGACTGGCTCTAGTTTTCAAGC